CCCCCTTAAGCTCAGAAGTTCAAGCTCCTCACAACGCCCCAGCACATCCAGCATCGCCCTGTCCCTCACCCATTCCCTCTGTGAGCCTCCTGGTCCTGAACTTCATTCCCTTTCCCACAGAAAGACTCCTCAGAGCAGAGCTTCTCTTCCCTGCCACTTTCCCCAGCTCCATCTCACTGACCCACAGCTCCTGCTGCTCCCAGTGCTGCTGGCCTCAGCACCTGAGCACATCCCCTCTTCTCCTCAGCTCTCCCCACAGACAGAGTCCTGATCTCCACAAAACTCAAACTATAATTTCCAAGAAATTACCTATGTGGAATTCAGAGCACCCAAGGGGGAAAAATATAAAAGATACTTTGCTCATAGTTTCTAGAAACCACAAAACATTAAGACTTCGCCTGTTACTGCTGAACATCTTCAAACAAGACACAATGAGGTTAAATGAGACTAATGTAGCATCAGAACGTTGTGCCTTTCCTTTTTGAATGCTGCCTTCCGAAAGCTGCACGCCCCAGCTGTGTCAGGACAGCAAATGTGAGCCTGGTACTGCACTGCTCTACATAACCCAGAACTGCCTGAAGACAGAAATCCTCTGCTGAAGAAAAGAGGAGGGGGAGAACAATAAAGAGAAGAAAACAGCTCCATCTTCATAAGGCTTCCCCTGAAAAGCACGAAGACCAGTCTACGCTCCACTGCGTGGCAAATTTTTCTGTATCAGCAAGAGAATTCATGAAAGGGACTGGTTCAGAGTCTCCTATTTATGTTCCAATCTGAGAGAATTTCTGTATACACTTCTAGAACTTAGTGCTATTTTTTAGATGCTTATGAGGAAGTAGATCTCGAAAGTAACATCTGGCTTCCAGATGAAGATCCTGCTTTTGACTCAGCTGTCAAGAAATAACCACAGTGATCCCACCCTGCCAGAAAAATGTGTCTGACAGACCCATCATACACCCATAATGTGCAGCTGGTACCCAGCTGACCAGCACTTGCTGGTCAAGATGCCACACTCCAGCAACCAGATTCAGAGGCCAGTTCAGTTCAGTCATATTTGATTTATTGATATGGAATCAGCGAGGGTCTGAGATTTCACATGTATCTGAAAATATGGTCCTATTTACATTATTGGCAGCACTGGTCCTGTAGTGGGCTCTCCAGCCTTCTATTCATAGTACACAGTGCTCTATGGACGTGGACAGCAATTAAGAAAACAAGTGGTCTGCCTTAAGATATGATTATTAAATAAATACTAAGCAATCCTGAGAGCCTGGAATTCTGCTAGTAGCTCTGCATGCCTGGCTGCATTAACACAGCACTTTGATGTCTCCTGTACTAAAAGGCAATCTGTGTTTCTGGCTTATCTGGACTAAACCAGAAACATTATTGCATTTGCAAACATTCTTTAAAAAAAAAAAGGGCAAAACAAAACCCATCCAAACACACTCAATTCAAACACAGTCCATCTAGTTGCAGTCTTCACTGGGATACATTTGCCATTATCACTACTGAAACATTCCAACATTTCAGACTAAGGAAGGCCCGTAGATCACGACTAGATTGTTATTAATAGCTTTTTGGCACAACAATTTTCCATTCTGAGGGCAGCTGCCTTGGTACAGGAATACCTAGACATTTCAGAGCTTGTGCTTGGATACAATACAAAAAAAACAGATGATTCCACTACTTCTTCCCTCACTGCAGGACTGTTCTTTTCTTACCACCTCTGACATTTGAATTACACACCTAAAAAAACACTCCTGCATACTTCAAAATACAAGCTCAACAACTTCCACAGCTTCTCCCTCCGCGCTGTTGCTTCAGCTCTGTTTACTGTGATTCAGTCATTTTCACAGCAACGAACTATGATGCCATGAAGAAAGCATCTGTGTCATCAACGAGGGAACAAAGCAGGACAGTTAAAGTGCAGAAGGAACAATACAGAACTTTCTTACAAAGCCAGAATTTAATACTCCTGTACTTACTCAAGAACAATTTTCCACTCCAGCTATTTTAAGATAAATAACGTATTAAGGAGACTTCAGGAGAAACATTTACACGCATGCGCTCTATGTATAATTGGTTATTTGTGGCACAGACATCAACACGCTCTGTCTGTACAACTGCTGTGTGCCCATCTGACTGCTATGACTGCAGAATAATCCTTCAGGTGCCCTCAAAGGGCTATTGTTGAAACACAGTTAGTCATGGCACAGCCTGGCACCAGCCCGGCTCTGGCGGTTACGTAAGGCAGCAGCCCACGAAGCCTTGTTTCACAACACACTGAGGTGGAACACGCTTGCCAGGAGCATGTCGTAGAGCCACCAGCTGCTCAGGAGCAGGCAGCTGTCAAGCAGCTAAACAAAAAAGTGCAGTCCCTGCAAAGTGTAAAGAGGCATCTATCTAATCAACGCAGAGCAGCGTTTCGGCCACTGGCTATAAATGGCTGTGGTTTGTGGCTGTGGAAGCGAGCGTGAGCACACAACTCAGTACAGGGCACACGCAAACCTTCTCGATACTGCTGCACGCACACCTCTCAGCACAACCCATCCAACCAGGAGAAACCATTCCGGCTGCCTGTGGCTGCTTATTCTTCTTCTGTGTCCTCCCCACGATCTTTCAGCCAAGAACAGGTGATACCTGCTGCAATCACCAGCGTGCAGTTCTACGGGAGAGACAGCTCATTTGTAAAGTAAGTTCAGCAAGTAACTTTGCCAAATGAACCACTATGCAGTAACACAGCTTGTTAAACAATGTGCTGAGAGGGAGCGCAGGTGGATGGAGCACAGAGCACTATGATCCCATGAGAAACACTGAGCTGTTTGAGACTTCACAAAGAGATTGCCAGTTAAACTCCTCAACAAATGCGTACATTTCCACTAGCATTTGACAGCTGTTAGACAGTGCCAGAATGTCACTCAGCATTTTTCATGGAATCACAGCACGGTTGGATTGAAGGAACCTTAAAGATCACCCAGTCCCAACCCCTGCTGTAGGCTGGTTGCCCCCCATCAGATCAGGCTGCCCAGGGCCCTGTCTCACCCGGCCTTGAGCACCCACAGCTCTGGGCAGCAGTGCCAGTGCCTCGCCGCCCTCTGAGAAAAGAGCTTCTTCCTAACATCTCACCTATTCTTGCTTTACAACTGGCAAACGCTCACACATAAGCTGAACAACTCCCCTAAAAGTTGAAGTGAGATTTGAGGTGTTACAAGAAAGCTTTTAAGTCGTGACCCTCACAAATCTGTCAGAAGAAAAATGGTAGGATTATGAGAGAGAGCTTCGCTCCTTTCCTTAAGCCCGCAGACTGAAAGCAAGCTATTTTTCTTAAGCTTAGAAGTGCATGAGAAACTGTTGTCAAAGGGGCAGCTTAGGGCTGAAAAAGATTTTTTCCTAAGACTGCAGATTGCCTACTATCCGCCAGCCCGATCTCACTAATCTGCCTGGGAATCAAAGGAGGACACACAGAGCTCCCTGATGCTGCTGAAGCAGTTTCTATCACCAGTTTCGCAACCATGCCAGGCCAGTTGTCTCGGGCATCAGTTTGCCTATTAGCCATTACAACTTGTAGGTCGAAATTAAAAACACTCATAATCACACTGCCTCTCCTGAAGGCACTAATGCTGAAAGTGTGTCAGTTTCAGCTGACTGGATGATTGGACTTTAAAAAAAAATAAAAAGAAACACAAATGGGAACCAAAGCAAAGACCTGCCCATGGCCCAGAACAACCAGAACTCTATTCAGCAGTCAATCAGAATACCCATGTAGAACGTATCATTTATTACAGATTTACCAAGGAGCAGCTGACTGTGGGCCCCATTGTGCTGTTCAGAGGGAATAAATCTGCCACTAAGAACTTCCACTCTAAATCAGCACTTAAATCAAAATCCCTTCTAAGCCTGGTTCCTTCCTTCTGACCTCTAAAATCCAGGTACAGCATACTGGTGAAAAATAATACTTCATTTAGGCTACCAAGGCATAAGGGGAAAAATACAACAGAAGTCATAATCAAAACATTGTGATTAGTAGTGAGAAATAAACTCTGAAGTGTTTAGTCGAATATAAAAATAAGGATTTGCAGATGTTTGCTTTCTGTGCTGAAAAAGTGGTCAGGGCACAACTGAGAATCGCCCCAGTTAGAACAAAAACTTGATCTCGGAATCGTCTATTTTAGTTTGTCTCAGTCCAGACACAGCTACCAGTATAGTTGGGAGGCTTCAGAAACTGCAATGAAGCCACCAGTAACTCTATCACGCAAATGGGCAGATACCAAGAAAAGACATCATACTCAAAAGCAACTGAACTTGCAGCAAGTTTCTCCCCACCATGTCCATTTCCAGCACACAAAGCCACTCATCACTCCTGTATCTCTCAGCATTACAGCAAGCTGAACTCCAGAACTGTTGCTCTCCACTGAAGCTAAGCCTTCGTGCTGAGCGGATCACGTAACATGTGAGAAACCTTCTGGCCTGCAATCACCATTCCAGATTACCCAAGCTATACAGTTTAATCTAATTATGATTTTAACAACTACAGAAGCTGCAAATAAACAAGTGACACTTAAATGCTCAAGGGTGAAGCACCCTCTGCATTCCACCTGTGCACCTCAAAATCTCCATACAGGTATGGAGCTTTGCTGAGATGAGCGCTAACAAACCAGGGAAGGGCAAAAAGCAACAACGTGTTGATGAAAAAGGCAGGAAGCAACAACATGATTTACAAATCATGCTGAAAAATAAAGAAAATGATTTACAAAGAGGAAACCAGGCCTTCTGTACATACAAACTGATTCAGAAGCTCTGCAGGAGGGCTGATGTCTCGTGCCTTGCACTGAACAGATCTGTACCAAAGCCTCCAATCTACAAACTTGATTCCTTATTAACATCAAAGGACTGCAGAGATTAGAGCATGTGAAATGCTTTGAAAAATGAAAAGCATTGGGCATGTACTAAGAATGATTAACACCCTAGCACTCAGAACAAAACAATTATTTATTCACTTGAAATTCTTTTACTGTAAAAATATTTTATTTATCATTTAAATGCATTTTATATTGGCAAAAAGAATAACTGATAAGCTGAGAAAACAAAAACCTTGCAGAAAAAGAAACATACAGCATAAGCAATAAAACAAGCTGTTTCCACATCTGATACCAACCAACACGTCTCAGACTCTGCCCCAGGGAGACTCCTTCCAAGAAATGGATTCAAGCACTTTGTGTTCTCCAACTGGGGCAAATTTGAACCCTTAAGTCTATGAGACAGAAAAGATTAAGCCAAATGGCCAGAAATGCTTTCTTCAACTTCAATTGGTGAAGAATAGGGACTTCATTGGTTAAAGCTGCAGCCTTCAGAAAAAAAAAACCAATATCTTTCCACTTGGAAACTCTAAATTTTGGACTCTAGAAGATACGTAGGTGTAATTGTGTCATTTTTTGGGTTTTCTTTTAATCCAACCTTCTAATCATACATAAGGACAACACACACTTTGAAGCTCGTGGTAAAGACAGAGTGCCAAACTGCACCTCGCAAAGGGAACATCCAGTTGAAATGTCTGACCAAAAATCCTTGCATTTAAATGACAAAAACCTTCAGAAACATACCACAGGTGGAAACTTCCCTTCTCTAAGCCTATTGTGCTGTGTTATATCATTGTCAGGAAGTAGCTGCAAATTTTTAATGCACGCATCATTCTTAACCTACTAGAGTAAAACTTTCCAGCCTCAACAGATTTTGTTCCACTGACAGCACAGTGATCAAAAAAGCTCAAAGACTGCCTCTGACCTTTGCAAAAATGTTGTTCCTGAGCTCTGTTCAAGCTGCTGAAAGAGGAAAGCAGTTAGTTGCATGTGACACTAGTTTCTCTGTACCATAAAGTTCTTGCCTTATACCAAGCGCAGCCTTTAAAGTCTCATCTCTGAAGAAAAGATGAACTTCAATAAGCTTACACTGTATGAGTAGGTGCTTTGACATGTCTATTTCTAATCCTCCAACTCAATGACAAAGAACTTATTTCCACCTGTGAATCTTCAAAGTGCAGATGTGAACTGATGCCTCCACATTTCTGTAACTCATTAATCCAAACTAACCGAGCTTTTATTCAACACCTTTACACCATTCTGAAGCACCGCACAGGTGCTTTCTCTTAGGATGATTACTCTTTGTGAAGCTGCTTTCCACATGTGCATTTTGAGACCCAACAGAACTTACATTTTTAAAACATCAGAAATAAAATTTTATCTGCTATTACAAAGCAACAGCCATAACTCAGGACCCCTCATTGTTCGTGTATTCTACAAGCCTGAAAACAGACGGCAACAGGGTTTGCAGCTGGCAGAATGTCTCCAAAGCTAAGAGTTTTTCTACCAAACTTTATACAAAGGAAGAAACAAGGCTCTGGGACCCGGATCCCACATGTTTCAGCAGATGCTGTTTCCAGCTTCAGCAAGTTTTCATTCAGAAGCAACTGCTCCATGTTCAACAGTGCCTCAGGGATCACATACAAGATCCTGCCATCCTGTATAAATGAGAGGCCTGGTTTAGAGTTACAGCAGAAACACAGTGCACAGCGTTTGTATGGGAGAATGACAGAACTGTGCTACTTTCTCCACATCAACAGTTGTATGGCTCATGGTGGTACTACATGCAAAACATGAGGTGATCATAAGAGCATTTGAGTTGGAAGGGACCCTTAAAGGCCATTTGGTCCAACTCCCTGCAACGAACAGGGATACCCACAGCTCCATCAGTGCTCAGAGCCCCTCCAGCCTGACGTCGGGTGTCTGCAGGAACAGAACATCCACCCACTCTCTAGGCAACCTGTGCCAGTGCCTCACCACCCTTGTCATAAAAAACCTTTTTCTTGCATCCAATTTAAATCTTTTTGTTTGAAACCATGTCCCCTTGTCCCATCACAACAGACCCTGCCGAACCATCTGTCCTCCTCTTTCTTTCAGCCCCCTTTGGACACTGAAAGGCTGCTCTCTGGTCTCCCAGGAGCCTTCCCTTCTCCAGGCTGAACAGCACCAGCTCTCAGCCTGTCCTCCCAGGGGAGGTGTTCCATCCTTCACATCGTTTTATTGACTCTCTTTCGGACACACTCAAACAGGTCTATGTCTGTCCGTGCTGTTCACATGTGAGTGTAGCGCCCCAAGAGAGGCCTCACAGACCTCAGTTCCCTGATTGGCGCAGGTGGACGGTAACCCTAACGCTGGGGTAAAGTGAAAAGACTCCAATAGATAGGTGCATTCTGCAGGTGGGAGGCGTCGCTTACACAGCTTTGCTTCGGGAACGGCTCAAACCTACGGTTATCGCTGCAGCCCCACGGCAGCCCAGGGTCCCTCGGCTTCGTTTTGGCAGCGCACACCTCGTGCTCGGATCCCAGCTTCCCGCAGGCCTCGCCCCGCCCGCCAGGCCCGATCCCCGCCGCCGCCCGGGGCCGTTCGAAACTCCTCACGCCTCCTTTGCACAACGCCATTATATAACGATAATCGCACGGGTTCCCACGCCCAGACCCAATTCTGGCTGCCGCTCCTCCCCATCCCGCGCGGCCCCGCGGCCCGGCTCGCCTCACATCACCGCTGCCGGGCAGGAGGCACGAAGGCCGCGAGGCCGGAATTGCGGGCAGCTCCGCCCGGGCGCACTCACCTCCTGAAGTCAAAGGGCATGGTGCTGGCGGGCGCCGGGCAGGCTGCGGGCCCCGCCGCCCCCGGGCCCGGCTCTCGCCTCGCTGCCGCCGGCCGCAGGGCCAGGAAGTGACGGCCTCGCCGCCGCGCAACGCTCAGCCCATTGGGCGGCTGGGGCCGGCCGCCGCTTCCGCCGCCGGGTTACGGGTAGCGGCGGGAGCCGAGGAAGCCTGGCGCTGCCGCGGCTTCGGTGCCGGGCTCGGGGTTCGAGGCGGCCGCCCAGCAGCAGCGGAAAGGCGGCCGGCAGCGCTGCCTGCGGGCTGGATGAGCCCCTTGGTGCCAGCCTGGCTCTTCGGCTTTCTTTTGAAAACCTTTCTGCTTTTTTTTATCGGAGGACAAAGAGTTAAAGTAAGAAAAAGCTCTGTGTTTCGCAGGCTAGGCGTTTCCCCGCCGCCTGAGCCTCTCTGGTCTGCTGCCTTGCCGTTTTGCCCAAGCATTAATGCTTTTGTCTGACTCTATCCCTGCCGGCTTTAACGCGGCACACATCGCTGGTCTCACAGCGCTGCATTCATCATCCTGCAGCCAGGCTGTTCCCTCAGCATCCCATCATAGCCTCAACCAGGGGCTTCCTGCTGCAGATGAACTGCTACCAATGTTGCGATGAGTGAAGTTGTGCCTTCACGCTGTGCGTGTTAGATCGTAACACAGGAGGAGAATGCAGCTACTTTGTCTTCTCGGCCTAAAAGCAGAGCAAGAGCAAGAGAAACAGCAGCAATCTAAATATGCTGTGTGCATACTTCAATACATACTTAGACAAGCATACTGCTGTTCTCGTTGATTCTGCGTTGATTCTGGAGCTTTCTTCCTCTTCTACCCGCTATCATAACCTCCATGCTTAGAAATCCACGTTTTCCCATTCTTTGCTTTCACCTAGGAACCAGACCCACACTTGGAAAAAAAAGAATAACTCAGATCGAAATAAGTAGAGGAAAAATACCTAACAGTCAGAGCTGCTAGTCAATGCCATGGGCTTTCAAATGAAGAGATAATTCTTGATGGGGATATTTAAAAATAAAGTGGAGGAGTCCTGGGGTGAGATAACAAGGCACGATCCCTCAAAAGCCCCCGGGGAACAGATAAAGAAGCCTAATTGGCTTTTTGATCTCAGACATCTAAATTACCCGAATTGCATTGTGCAAGTGCATTCAGCAGATTGCAGACTGGTCAGCCACCAAACCCTGCTGCACTGTGCATTGTGCTCAAAAATTGAACAACCCACTGATACTAATGAGACAGTTCTCATCTCTCAACAGGTCAAACTAATTGTGTAGACATAGCCAGGGGGTCTATCTGTACTGGAAAAACAAAACAAGACAAAAAAACAGCAACAAAACTGTGCCTATCGAGCTATAGTTGCACAACCCAGTGCTAGTCTGAGCTCCTGGCAAGGCCCCTGTGTCGTTAGCTATTATTAACCATCTTGTGCAAAGACCAATGCAGGAGCCAAGGCAGTGCTAAAGTGGTTACAAAAGTATTTAACCTGTAGGATAGACAAATTGGGAGGTTGCCTTGAACACTCATTCCTCTGTCAGACCCAAGGATTGAGAATGCAAGGCAGTGAAAGCTCACATTGGGAAGTTTTGTTTCCAACTAAAAGGTTGAAGAAACTGATGGACACAGAGCAGCACCAAGACAGCTTTCCAGTTCGATCCAGTTCACTTACATCCTTGCCAAGGGAAGAAGAAGTTAATGCCCTGAGATAAGACCCTCATCACAATATTGTTTAATTACATAAGACTTCTAGTGAGCCTGAGATAAGCACAGGAATTTGTCCTCAGTCCAGCTGGGTGTGGCTGCTTAGATCATGTTGTGTATTAGAATGAGAACTGAAAGCCCGGGTTTATTTGAGGTGCTTGTCATGTCATTAGAGCTGGAATAAATAAACTGATACTGACAGCTGATTTAAAAGTTATCTCTCTTTTTTTCATGTAGGTGATAGATGAACATTTACTAATAACAGCAGCCCTAAAATTATCTATTGTTTCTCTTCAAGTAGCATTAGTAACACTAATTGAGACAGCTCTGAAATCAGCAAGTGGAAGTTTTCAGAGCTCTCTCCAAGGAAGAGGCTGAAGCAGGGGGGTGAGTTGGATGACCTAAGGCTACAGAATAAAGTCAGATTTACCTCTAAAATTAGCAAATACCAACCTCCCTCACCCCCCTATTCCTAATTCTGTGCTCATAGTTCTGTTCACAAAAAGGAATATTGTCCTGACTTCAGTTCACTTTCTTATAAATAAATCAGATCATATTTGACTCTATCAGGATTCCTAACTCATGCTTCACAGAAAAAAAAACCTGCTGCCTCCTTCCTAGAGACAAGTGACCCACACATGCTTTATTTGAATCATCTTGGTAGCCCATAAACTTGCTCTTACAAGTAACGTTTTGTTTCTCTGGTTTTCCTAAATCTTCCCAGTTTCTAGGTGATATGCCATTCTCTGCTTTTAACTTCATGTTAATGCAGTTTATAGTAATCTGTGATTTTTTTTTAATTATCTCTAACTTGTTAAAATGTCCTTGTTCCCAAAGAAGTGCAACATGGGACCTTACCCATTCACCATAATGTTGTTCAATAAAACATCTAGAATGCCCTTGTATGATTTCCTCTTTTGTTTTGTTTGTGATTCCTTACACATGGCTGAGCTTTGTGTTAGCCCCTGGCTTGTGTTACCACTCCTGAGCTGGGAACGTACTGCAAGTGCTGTGACTGGGTCACGAGCAGCATTGTTTGCTAAGGGTAAAGCAGGGTGCATACAGTCATCGTTTAGGTCACCTTCATTTTGTTCATCAAGTGGGAATGTGCGGTGACTGTGAAGGAAGGTGCAGCGCTTATTCACTTCGCCCCTTCTGCCACAGCAGTGTTTGCTCACAGCTGAACTGTAGCTTTTTGTTTGGGACAGCGTGTGACAGGGTATGCACTGTGCGACGTTCTGCCCTTGTGCATGTATTCACAGGACGTGTTTGCAGCACTTGTGTCAGGGTGGGTTTGGGATTTAAGTGAGCACATTGCTACGCAGGGCGTGTTTACTTGATTATGTGTTGTATTCTGCAGGGCGTGACTCTGGCTGCATGAAGCACTGAACACAACTGCCGTTCAGGAAAAGGAAAAAACATTTCAGAGAATGAACAGAAAAAGTTATAAAATATAAATAACAGCATGTGAGGAAATATTTCTGAAGGAACAGGATGCGTCTGTAGGTGAAGAATTCAAACACAAGTGCTGTGCTAAGTATAATCAGCAATGAAAGCTCAGCCCTTCCTCTTAGCATTTTAGTAAGCTACTTGTTGGCAGCATTTTCTGAATATCAGGGAACAAAAAAGTGAGCTTTAAGTCTTCATGCAGTGTAGGATGTGGTTGTCATCCTATATCCTATAGCTATCAATCTATTGTGAGACTGCATCTTGAATGGACGGTGGAATAAATTCGTATCGTTCAACTTATACAAAGGTCCTTCTTCACTGAGTGTCTGAGTTTTTCCCTTACAACATGAAAACAACCTCTCTTCTTCCTGCTCAATACACAGAGGTAGCAACATGATCATTTTATGGATCCCAGGGCTGGCCGCAGGCACTGTGTGTGTACTTGGGAGGGGGCCCACACAGCCACACGGCCTCTTCCCTGCCCCATGACATTGAGTGAGCACTGAACTGGGCAGCGCTAATGGAAATCTTCAGCTTTTAAAGCCCTAGAAAATGTACCCTGTGTTTAATACGGTTTCTTTTTGCTTGCTTGTTTGCTTTAGTTTTTGGCATGTCAGGTATTTACTATGGCAAAGCCACAGTGAACACTAAGTTTTTGTGTTTGCTTCCTTTTCCACTGTGGAAATGAACTCTGCGGACAAGTTACAGCTGCTGTCAGTTTTGCCTCACACAGTCCCTCTGTATTGATCAGTGACCAGTGCAGTTTGGGAGACTGAAATCGTGCATAGGGTCACGGCCAAAGGCGATGGAGTTAACCGGATGCACGTTAACCATTAACTGGAGTAAGCAGCGTAATCAAGGACTTTGAACACAAAAACAGAGGGCCAAAAATCGAAGAGATATTGATTAGTAACAAACAGTTCAAGTTTAGCACCTAAAGGAGTCCAATTAATTCAATAATTCAGTAATTCAAAGGAAGATTATTCTGTAGTGAGTTAAATGCCTAAATTCCCTGTACTTGGGAAAGGAATAATTAGGAGCCTAAGGACTTTTGCCCATGGCTAGTAAACTGAGTGGTGAGATGCCTGCATCAGCCAGCAGGAAATACCTGGGAGAAGGGATTGTCTGAGGATGTCCCAGGGAAACCCTGACATGGAACCAAAAAGTGATTGTTTGTGGCTTTAAGTAAGTCACACATTTAGCATAAACACTTGAATCTTCATAGAAATTTTCCTGGGAGATAAGCCACCGCCTCTGTTTTACATGCTCCCAAGTCCACTTCTGGACCTTTGAACTGACAGGGAGTGCTGTGAGAAACTTCCAGCATTCAGGGGAAGAAAGGAGAGGGCTCTCTCAGTGTCATAAAGCTGAACTATTGTGTGACCAGGAGTGCGAACTGTCATGCTGGAATAGGATGTCTGGTCAGGGCTCTTCTCTGGGAAACAGTGGTGATGGTAGGGTAGGATACTGGTGATACTGGGCTGGGGGGTCCATGACTTACTAGTGGTAAATACGTATAAGCACAGAAGCACTTCCAAGAGTTCCTTCCCTTCAGTC